GCTGGGGGGCGCTGGGAAGGTGTGTGTGATGGCCTGAGATGCTGGGTCTGTCTGGGAAGGTGTGTGTGATGGCCTGAGACGCTGGGTCCCCCTGGGAAGGTGTGTGTGATGGCCTGAGACGCTGGGTCCCCTCTGGGATGGTGTGTGTGATGGCCTGAGGCGCTGGGTCCATCTGGGAAGGTGTGTGTGATGGCCTGAGGCGCTGCGTCCCCTCTGGAAGGTGTGTGTGATGGCCTGAGATGCTGGGTCCGTCTGGGAAGGAGAGTCAGTGCAGGTCAGTCTGACAGAGCGTTGCTGGGACTGATCCGTCCCAGAGGAGTTTTCGGGTTGGCCTGAGATTGCACAGCCAGTGGGGCACTTACCAGGCCCAGGACTGAAGTCAAGCCTAGTCCAGAGTTGGGTGACCTTGAGCAGCCGTGTGAATAGCTGTCTCTCAGGGAGCATGTCTTTGCTGCCCTTTATAGAACCAAGGAGCCAGAGCAGAGCTTCAGGGTAGCCTCTGAGGGGAGGTGGTGTCAGATCCAAGCAGCCAGCCAGGCCCCGGGGCAGAGTAGACCCCATGGGTGAGGATCTCCATGCCCTCGTCTCACACACATTTACATGCACAGTGAAGCCCTCAAATTGCACGTCCCTGTCTGCTGGCTCCCACTCTCTCCTGCTCCAGCATTTATCCAGCACGTGCCAGGCTCACGAGGTGCCCAGACAGGGAGGCAGGGAGCTCGCAGCTGCGAATAGGAACCTCAGGGTGTCCTGACAGTGTGAGGTGCAGGGACACAGAGTGGGTCGCCAGTTCTTCCTGGGAGAGCCAGGCTCAAGACGGGGAGGGAATACAGGTGTGTGACAGTAGGACAGTGATAGCGAACCTTTTTTTTTTTAAATATATTTTATTGATTGAGTACTGGCCAGGTCAGTGGGGTAGAGAGGGGCGGGCATATAGGAGAGGCAGCCCAACACATATCAGGAGCAGCCCTAACGTGCCAAGAGGTAGGCACTGCCCGCAGGTGAGAGTAAGGTACCTAGCAGGCAAGCTCTGGGAACTATGTGGACTCCAGCAGCTTTTGCAAGTCCCCGGCAGCAGAAAGGAGTTACATTCTGATGGTAAAAGAGTAAAATTGTCAGCCTCTCCGGAGGGCAGTTGGGCAAACTTTGTATCAAGAGCCTCAAGAATGTCCGTATCCTCTGACTTCATGATTCTTATGGGCATTTCACTGGAGTATTGTGGAAAGACTGAGCTGGAAGTATTTTCGTTGCTGTGGTATTTGTAATAGCAAAACGGAATTGGAATCTGCTTGAATCATCCATCAACAGTTTACTGAATGAGTCAGTAAATTTAACTGAAAGCTGTTAAAATCCATGTTTTCAAATAATATCCAATGTCGTGGGGAAATGAAAGATATAACGAGAAAAGCACAGCGTATGACACTGGACCAGTCTGATGGTAAAATGCTGTGTGGAGAGGATGACAGCGCAATGTCAGGGGGGTTCTGGGCTGCTGGGAGCATGGGTGGTTTCAACTTTGCAATTTCTGTCCCTCTGTAATATTCTGACATTTCTACATCAAACATGTATCAAATTGCTATTGCTTACACTCAGGAGGTTGATTATTTTTAAAACAGGGTGACCAAATTAAAAAACTCGAACTTGAACTTGAACTCATAAAGTGCATGTGATGGCCTGAGACGCTGGGTCCTACTGGGAAAGTGCATGTGATGGCCTGAGGCTCTGGGTCCCCCTGGGAAGGTGTGTGTGATGGCCTGAGACGCTGGGTCCTGTCTGGGAAGGTCCGTGTGATGGCCTGAGACGCTGGGTCCCCTCTGGAAGGTGTGTGCGATGGCCTGAGACGCTGGGTCCCCTCTGGGAAGGTATATATGATGGCCTGAGATGCTGGGTCCCCTCTGGGAAGGTCTGTGTGATGGCCTGAGGCGCTGGGTCCTACTGGGAAGGTGCATGTGATGGCCTGAGACGCTGGGTCCTACTGGGAAGGTGCATGTGATGGCCTGAGGCGCTGGGTCCTACTGGGAAGGTGCATGTGATGGCCTGAGGCGCTGGGTCCTACTGGGAAGGTGCATGTGATGGCCTGAGGCGCTGGGTCCTACTGGGAAGGTGCATGTGATGGCCTGAGGCGCTGGGTCCTACTGGGAAGGTGCATGTGATGGCCTGAGGCGCTGGGTCCTACTGGGAAGGTGCATGTGATGGCCTGAGGCGCTGGGTCCTACTGGGAAGGTGCATGTGATGGCCTGAGGCGCTGGGTCCTACTGGGAAGGTGCATGTGATGGCCTGAGGCGCTGGGTCCTACTGGGAAGGTGCATGTGATGGCCTGAGGCGCTGGGTCCCCCTGGGAAGGTGTGTGTGATGGCCTGAGAGGCTGGGTCCTGTCTGGGAAGGTCCGTGTGATGGCCTGAGGTGCTGGGTCCCCTCTGGGAAGGTCCGTGTGATGGCCTGAGACACTGGGTCCCCTCTGGGAAGGTGCATGTGATGGCCTGAGGCGCTGGGTCCCCTCTGGAAGGTGTGTGTGATGGCCTGAGGCGCTGGGTCCGTCTGGGAAGGAGAGTCAGTGCAGGTCAGTCTGACAGAGCGTTGCTGGGACTGATCCGTCCCAGAGGAGTTTTCGGGTTGGCCTGAGATTGCACAGCCAGTGGGGCACTTACCAGGCCCAGGACTGACATCC